GGCATCCCAGAACACACCATGAGGCCTGTTACCTGAGACCCTCAGGAAGCCCTGGGGTCATGGCCCAAGCACCCGGAGAAAGAGAGTTGTGTGGAGCCACCACAGTGGTGGTGCCTCCCTCAGGACTTTAGGACCCTCCGTGGACCCTGAAACACCTTCATTCTCAGGACTTGACTCCAGCAGGGACTGCTCTAATGGTACCGGCTGCCTCACAGAGCACTCTGGTCCTAAGTACACACAGCACCCAAACCCAGCTCATTGGTTGGACCCAGAAGCCATGGCCCTGCAAGGGTCAGGACCACCTAGAATGCAGAGGACCCTGATCAGAGTGAGACATCTTCAGAAGAAGAGTCAGAAGTGGACCAGGAACTCTTAAAAGAAAACGAGGCTGGGTACCAGGAGGATGGGAACCCTTCTTTTCTTTCCATTCCATCTGCTTGCAGCTGCCAGGGAACACCGAATTCAGAAGGGCCTTACTCTGAGGAGGAAATGGCTCTTCTTAACTCTGCCACCACTATGCTTCTCCAGCCTTGGGGAAGATGAGAGTTGGAAGAAAGAATATGATGATGAAGAATCATTATTAGGTTCCCCAGTGATTTTTCACGATGTGTCAGCGGAAAGAAACCCCCATTCTGGAGACAGAGGCACCACCAACGGCGGATACTCGGGAGGGTGGACGGGATCCCAGGTCCCTGGTCAGCATCATTTGGGCCGGAAATGAAGTCAGGCAGATAGCGCAGAGCCCTGGGATTGTAAGGGAGCCGGCGAGGAACTATGTCAACTTGGACAGGCAGGCTCTTGGTGGCTGAGTTAGACTGCTGGTGTTGGTGGGAGAGTATGTAGAAGCAGCTGGGGCACATCTATGCATGCAGGCAGCTGAAAAGCAGTGGTCGGACCTTTTCAAGTTTAGATGGGAGTCTGGACAGAGCGGCTGGGGTCCTGGGCCCAGGTCATGTTTCAGTTTCTAAGCCAGGAGTTTTATTGTGGAGTAGAATTGTTTACCCGTTTTCTTTTTCTTTTTTTTTTGAGACGGAGTCTGGCTCTGTCGCCCAGGCTGGAGTGCAGTGGCCGGATCTCAGCTCACTGCAAGCTCCGCCTCCCGGGATTCACGCATTCTCCTGCCTCAGCCTCCTGAGTAGCTGGGACTACAGGCGCCCGCCACCCGCCCGGCTAGTTTTTTGTATTTTTAGTAGAGATGGGGTTCCACCGTGTTAGCCAGGATGGTCTCGATCTCCTGACCTCGTGATCCGCCCGTCTCGGCCTCCCAAAGTGCTGGGATTACAGGCTTGAACTACAGCGCCCAGTCACTTTTCAGTTTCTAAGCCAGGGGTTTTACTGTGGAGTAGGATTGTTTACCCGTTTTCTTAAGCTGCTGGGTGCTTTACTGCTCCTGGCTCTGGCCCTCTGTTTGGGCTTTCTACTGTTGGGATGGTGGTTTCTGGTGGGACTAGGTGACCAGTTAGGCTGGAGGGATAAGGTCACCTGGCTCTTCTCTTGGCTGGATTCCCCAGCCATGGCGTTGCTTGACTCTGCTGAGAGAGCAGGTCACGGCAGTGGCTGGTAAGAATAATTCAGTGGGGGTCGGGTGTGGTGGCTCACGCCTGTAATCCCAGCACTTTGGGAGGCCGAGGCAGGCGGATCAGCTGAGGTCAGGAGATCGAGACCATCGTGGCTATGCGGTATCTCCTACAAATCTGAGTAGCTAGGGCGTGATGGTGGAGCCTGTAGTAGCAATCCAGAGGCCGAGGCAGGAGGGTGGCCTGAGCCAGGCGAGCATAGTGAGCCGAGATCCCACCACTGCACTGTATAAGGCAGCTAACTCAGATTCCAGCTCAAAAAAAAAAGAAAACAATTCAATGGGGTTGGCTGGGAGTTGCCTTGGGTCAAACAGAATGCTAATAGGCAGGAAAGCACCTGTAGCTACTGAAGCTACTGCCAGCCTGAGAAGTGGCTAGACTCGACCTTGGCTGGGGTTCTATGGGGATGGGCTAAACCCTTTCCATGTACTAGGGGTTGGGGCCACAGCATCCAGGCAGCTGAACTGAAGAAGTCCTGGCAGTGACTGGCGGTGGTGGTTCATCCGCAGTGGCAGTGATGGTTCATCCACGACAAAAATCATCATCCCAGAATGAGAGGCCTTCAAGGTTTGTGTGCAGCAGGACATCGTCAGCAATGCTACGAGCGGAAGGAATATGAGATGAAAGGGAAAGGCAGAGAGAATGAACTGAGCCGGTCAGTAAATGAATTTCTGTCCAAGCTGCAAGATGACCTCAAGGAGGCAGTGAATACTTTGATGTGTAGCCATGCTAAAGGAAGCATAGGAGGTTTGAGGTGGACCAGGAACCTAAGAGTGCCAGATACTATGCTGCGTGTAATAGGCTGCGTCCCGCTGAGAAGAGAACTTTTGGGCAGAGAGTCAAGCTTGTTGAGCCTCAAGATCACCTGCTTTGCACTGATGGATGGAAAAGGTGTATGACAACACACAGTGGGCTGGAGACAGCGTGTGGATATCTCCCAGACCCGCAGAGTCCCCTCCACATCTCTCATTGGTTCTCAGATTCCAGGCACAGAGGGCAGCAGGAAGCCACCCCGGACACCCCCTCCTGCTGATCTTCCAGGATTTCTTGAGTCAGATCTTTCAGTGCTCCCAGGGCAGACGCCCAGTGGGAACTTCTTTGCAGCTCCTCAGCCTGCCCCTGGAGCCACTGCAGCCTCTAACCAACGCACAGTACCCAAAGGAGAAAAGCAAACCCGAAGCAAGCGGAAGAAAGTGAGGAGGAGAGGCACTTGCAGCGTTGAAGGCCCTTCTCTTTCCTCGAAACAATAATGTCAGGGAGTGGGGAAAGGACTGTGTACAAGCTGGGATGGAGTTTGATTTCTCCCTCCTCCCCCAACACCTAGGAACTGAAATTTTTTTTTTTTTTTTTTGAGACCAGAGTCTCGCTGTGGCTACCCAGCTGGGGTGCAGTGGTGTGATCTTGGCTCCTGCAACCTCTGTCTCCTGAGTTCAAGCAATTCTCCACATCTCGGCCTCCTGAGTAGCTGGGATTACAGGCACACACCACCACACCTGGCTCAAGCTAATTCTTTTGGATTTTTAGTAGAGACGGGGTTTCACCATGTTGCCCAGGCTGGTCTCGAACTCCTGAGCTCAGGTGATCCACCCGTCCTGGCCTCCCAAAGTGCCGGATTACAGGCATGAGCCACGGCACCGGGCCTGAATCTTGTCTTGTGAAAATACCGAAGAAATAGGGGGTAGCTAGAGTAAAGAACCACAGGGCCTGGACCTGGGCTGGACAGTATATCCCTTTAGGTGTGGGAACTGGGTATTTCCCTGGGGTCTCCATGCCTTTGTCTTGCCATTTGCGCAAGGGCAGATGAGACTTTTCCCCACCCTTTTAAAGCCACAAGTCTATCTTCTTTCTTGACCCATCTCAGGAGGGAGCCCTCTCCTTTACCCTGATACAATATTTAAAAGACAGAGCAAAGAAAGCATGCTTAGCCTAATGATAGGAGGTTACCTATGCGATATGAGTTCAGAGTTCAGAGAATGGAAACGGAATTTTCCCTCGACTTTCACTTTGTGGATAAATCACCCAATTTTAGGCTCTTTTCTGCAAGGATGGCCAAAATTAATCTTTTTTTCCCCAGGAGAATGACTCAGTTTATTATCCCAATTTGACCCTAGCTATACCACTTTAGGCTCAAACACTGTACAGAGCTGCCATGCCTAACCTCATAACAATCGCATCCCTGGAAGGTGAAGGGGGTAAACCACAAAGTCAGAAACATTGGGAAAAGCCACGGTCGCACGCACATCTCTCAAGGAAACAAACTACAAGAAAGGGCTCAGTCACTGTACACAGCAAGTGTGCAGTGGAGCAGTTCTGTGCTTTTGACAGTAGCCAAATGCTCAAGTCCCTGAGGATTTCTTGGGATCATGGCCCAAGGTTAGTAAGAAGGCCAACAATGTTGTGAACAGGATTCAATTTCTGTAGGGTCATGGGGCATCCTCCACCATGTGAAGGGGCTCCAGCAGGTTGGACATGATCAATACCCATCCAGATTAGAATCTGATGCCCGCGCCAGCCAGGCTCGGAGCTCGAGCAGCAGCCTCATCTTCAGCTCATCTAAGGAAGCAGCTCACCAAATCGGTAGAAGGTGTAACCATAAATAGCTAACACCAGGGCCCGATGCCTAGGCGATCCGCGATGTTCCGGGTCGCCACTGCGGTAGGACCTGCCACTGGGCAAGCTGTGCCGCCACGCCACGGAATACGGTGCTCGGGTGTCCAGCTACTCCGCGTCGGGTCGATACGCTGGCCCGAGGGGCCTCTCCACCTTAGCATCCAGAGGGTCACACCAGCTCCCGAAGCCGCCATGTTACCGCTCCCTCTCTCTTCCGCACGTTGCCCAATCATTTTTAAAAAGTAGATTCATGCCCACTGCCCTTGGGTGAGGGGGAAGGATACGGGGGTTCCAGAAGCCCCAGGTGATCAAGGGTTTGTATTTTTTTAAGTTTTGTTCATATTTGTATGTATATACCTATTTAAAGCCAGGAGATTATCTTTCTATAAATGTATAACTGGCAAAAAAAAAAAAAAAAAAAATCAAGAGCTGGCGGGGCACGGTGGCTCACGCCCTAAATCCCAGCACTTTGGGAGGCCGAGGCAGAGCGGATCACGAGGTCAGGAGATCGAGACCATCCTGGCTAACACGGTGAAACCCTGTCTCTACTAAAAATACAAAAATTATCCGGGTGTGGTGGCGGGCGCCTGTAATCCCAGCTACTCAGGAGGCTGAGGCAGGAGAATGGCATGAACCTGGGAGATGGAGCTTGCAGTGAGCTGAGATCGCGCCACTGCGCTCCAGCCTGGGCGACACAGCGAGACTCCGTCTCAAAAAAAAAAAAAAAAAATAGTCAAAAGAGCATTGTTGAGTCTCAAAATATCTAATCTTGCTTCATCTAGTAAATTTGCTTTTATTTTCTGTTGCTTCTAGACCAAGAGCAGTGATGACCTTTTAGCTGGAATGGCCGGAGGGGTAACGGTGACTAATGGTGTTAAAGGAAAGAAAAGCACCTGCCCATCTGTGGCACCTTCAGCATCTGCCATGACCACCGAGGAGAACAAATCCAAGATGAGCACAGGTATGGGTGACACTGGGATGAGACTTCAACTGTGTTTTTGTTGGAATAGGCAGGATGCATTGGTGTTTACAGTGTTCCATCTCATTACAGGACATTTTCAACATACAAAAGTAGATGGATTGATATTCCAGCCCAACTCATTCATCACCTCATCACCATTATCAACTCTACAGCCAGTTGCTTAACTCCTGATACCCACCCTCCCTCTTATTATTTTGAAGCAGATTCCAGACATCATATCATTTCATCCATAAATATTTTATTATCATTGGAAGAGGATTCTCCTTTTTTTTTTTTTTTTTTTTTTTTTGAGACAGAGTCTCGCTCTGTCGCCCAGCCTGGAGTGCAGTGGCGCGATCTGGTATTTTTGCAAGCTCTACCTCCCATGTTCACGCCATTCGAAAGATTCTTTTAAAAATATAATCCTTAATACCATTATCTGATCCTTAAAATAATTGATAATCATTCCTTAAATCATACCTTATTCAATGAGTATTTAAATTTCCAACAATCTTATAAATATTTCTGTTTTGTTTACTGTCTATTTTTATGTTTGGATCAGGACTCACCAGTCCATATATAGTGGCTGATGCGTCTCTTAAATCTTTTTAAATCTATAGGTTTAACCTGATTCTTGCAGTTTAATTTTTGAGGAAGCTGGTCATATGACCTATAGAGTTTCTGAGTCCTGGATTTTTATATCACAATATCCCCATGATGTTTTTGCCCAACACCCTTTGTTGTCTCTATATGTGTATATGGCATTGGAGTCTTATGGGACAGATTCAGGTCCCTGTCCCCCATTTGGAAAAAACAACCAAAACACCATGTTGGCTAGGCTGGTGTCGAACTTCTGACCTCAGGTGATCTGCCTGCCTCGGCCTCCCAAAGTGCTGGGATTACAGGCACAAGCTATCGCATCATTTAAATGTACTGAGAGGCTGAGGCGGTGGTTCAGAGCTGTAATCCTGAAGTACTTTGGAAGGGAGCGAGGCAGGCAAATCCTGAGTCAGGATTAAGACCAGCCTAGCCAACATGTGCTTCTGTCTCTACAAAAAAAAAAAAAAAAAAGAAAAATTACGCCCTGTGTGGTGGCGTGTGGCTCTAGTCCCAGTTACTCGAGAGGCTGAGAGCATGAGAATCGTTTACCCGAACCCGGAGGCATAGGCTGCAGTGAGTTGAGATGGCACCACTGCACTCCAGCCTGGGCGACAGAGCAAGACCCTGTCTCTAAATAAATAAACGTTGCGGTAATCCCAACTGCCGAGGCTGAGGCGGGTGGATCACCCAAGGTCAGGAGTTCGAGACCAGCCTGACTACTATAGTGAAACCCTGTCTCTACTAAATATACAAAAATTAACTGGGCATTGTGGCATGTGTCTAGTCCCAGCTACTCAGGAGACTGAGACAGGAGAATTGCTTGAACCAGGAGGCAAAGGGTGCGGTGAGCTGAGGTCGAGCCACTGCACTTCCAGCCTGGCGACAGAGTGAGACTCCATCTCAAAAAAATTAAATAAACTAAAAAATAAAAATAAATAAATATAGTAAGATTGCAGAGTTGTGCAGTGGAAGCGTGCTGGTTCTATCCACATAGTGAAGGCAGATTTCATACACAAATCTCACAAGGAGCACACAGCCCCAGTTGCCTTCCAAAGAGAAGCAGTACATAGACTAATGCATGGGCTGTCCCAAGCAACTCTGGAAAGAAGAAAAAGAGAAAACAGAAAAATGACACGCTCCAGCCCTTGAGGCCAAAATGCCCTTCCCAGAGCAGCTGCCAGAAGACAAGGGAGCAGGATCAGGTTGGGGGTCACTTCTGGGTGAGGAGGAGAAACGGTCAGACCGAACTTGGGCTATTTGGAGCCTGAGTCGACCTCGCTGGAACAGAAGAGAGCTGTAGTGATGCTCAGCTGACTGGCAAGGCCTTACATAATCCAAGTTCTCACGGTACAGAGAGGCCAGCCAGTGCGGGGACAAAGACAGGCATGCACAGAAATGGTTTCCTGGAAGACAGCCCAGTTGCATCTCTCACATGGGACCAGATCGGAAGGGAGACCAGCTGCTTTGGGCAACTTGAGGAGTTGCTTCTGAGAGCTCCCAAACTAGATGGTGCTGAGGGCCCTGGACCACTGGCAGCTGGACTGGACATCACATGACCCTGTCTTCCAGGAAACGGCATCTCAGCGCTTGTCTGGTCAGTTCTCCAAAAGAATCATCCACGAGCCATTTCTCCATTCCCCTCCTATGCACAGACTGGGCAGGGCCTGACCAAAACTCTCCTTAGGGTTTTTGGAGTCACTGCAAAACTTGAGCCCAGCAGTGAGGATGTGATGTTAAAATGTGATGCTGCGACAACCAGTAGCTCATGCTTGTCAACCCAGTGCTTTTGGGAGGCTGAGCTGGGAGAATCACTTGAGGTCAGCAGTTCAAGACCAACCCGAGGAACATAGATCTCTACAAAAAAATAAAAGTAAAAATTAGCCAGCTCTGGTGACATGTACCTGTAGTCCCAGCTACTCGAAAGGCTGAAGTGGCTTAAGCCCATGAGTTCAAAGCTACAGCTATGATGGTGTCACTGCACTCCAGCATGAAAAGCAGAGTGATACCATGTGTGAAAAAGAACAAACTAGGCATAGAAGAAACATACCTGAAAATGGCCAGGCCCAGTGGCTCACACGTGTAATCCCAGCACTTTGGGAGGCTGAGGTGGGTGGATCACCTGAGGTGAGGAGTTCGAGACCAGCATGGCCAACGTGGTGAAACCCCATCTCTACCGAAAGTACAAAAATTAGCCAGGCGGATGGCAAGGCGCCTCCCAGCTACTCGGGAGGCTGAGGCAGGAAGAATCACTTGAACCTGGGAGGTGGAGGTTGCTGTGAGCCAAGGTTGCACCATTGCACTACAGCCTGGGTGACACTTGAGCCAGAATCCGTCTAGAAAAAAAAAAACAACGGCAGTAGCGGTGACTCAAGCCTGTAATCCCAGCACTTTGGGAGGCCAAGGCGGGTGGATCACGAGGTCAGGAGATCGAGACCATCCTGGCTAACCCGGTGAAACCCGTCTCTACCAAAAATACAAAAACTAGCCGAGGCGGGTGGCGGGCGCCTGTAGTCCCAGCCTCGGGAGGCTGAGGCAGGAAGAATGGCGTAAACCCGGGAGGCGGAGCTTGCGAGTGAGCTGAGATCGGCCACTGCCTCAGCCTGGGCAACAAAGCAAGACTCTGTCTCAAAAAAAAAAAAAAAAAAGAAAAAAAAAAAAAAAAAAAAAAAAACTAGAAATAATAAAAGCTGTATACGACAAAGCCATAGCTAACCTACTACAGGATGCAGAAAAGTTAAAAGCATTTCCTGTGTAAACAGTAACAAGAGGAGGATGCCCGTTCTCACCACTTTTATTCGAAATCACACAATCAACGGAGAAAAATAAAAGCCACCCACATTGGAAAGAGGACATCAAATTATCCTTGTCTGATGAAGATGTGATCTTGGATTCAGAAATATGCTCGCTCCACCAGAAAACTCTAGACTTGATAAATAAATTAATACACTCATTTGCAGGATACAAAATCAACATACAAAAATCAGCAGCATTTTATACACCAATAATGGTCCAGTTGAGAAAGAAATTAAGAAGGCAATCACATGTACAACAGCAACAAAATGAAAATGATATGCCGCAGAAAAAAATTACCAAGGAGGTGAAGAAGAAAGATTTCTACAAGGAAAACTAGAAAACACTGATGAAAATGTTTAAGAGGAGAGAAATGGACAATCATTTCATGCCCACAGAAGGAATTCATAGCATTAAAATGACCACTGCCCAATGGTCTAGAGATCCAATACAACCCCTACCAAAAATACCAACATCATCACTCACAGAACTGGAAAAATCATAAAACTCATATGAAACCAAAACGAGGCTCAAAGAACCAAAGTCATCCTCACCAAAAAACAACAAAACTAAAGGCATCCCATTTCCTGCAAATTAGAGAATGACAACATTTTTGACAAGTGCGTGCTAGCAAAACAGCATGGTCCTAGCATAAAACTAGACACATAGATCAATAGGACAGATAAGAGGGCCCAGAAAGACAGACACGTAGTCTTGGGACTTGTGTCTCTCCTGCTATTACATCCATGCTGGGTGCTTGCTGTACAACAGGCAGACGAGAAGTCCCTGTTGCAGAGTGAGAACAAAGTGTGGGAAGGCCGTGAGGTCTGCAGTCCCCAGATGGCCTTAGCCTCTCATCCCCACAGTGCACTGTATTGCACCGGACTGTCACCTCCTTCTCGAGGTCAGGTCTTCAACAGTGACCCGGACCCCCCAGCTGTAAGGCAGGTGGCAGCATCAGAGGCTCCCCTTGCCTGAGCGGCAGCAGGGGAAACTTGTGTCACGAGGCCTAGAGGCCTGGGATGTCGGGAGCCATTCTGGGGGCAAGTGTCTGCCCACAGTGCTGTATCTGCTGCCTTTCACACTGGGCGAGACCCCAAGAGACAGCCTGAGGCCGGTCCTCACTCACCGTCTATGAGGACTTGAGGGGGCAGCCAACGGTGGGATGAGGTTGGCAAACTCCACCTCTTTAGTGACGAGAAGCCTTCTGGGGAGCTGTAGGAGCTCAAGATGGCACTGTTTGGGGCATGAGCTCATCCAGGAGGACTGAGATCTCTGGTATATCCAGAACTTCTGACATCTGGGCATGGAAGTCTCTCTGCAGAGGTCAGGCCTGAGCACGAAGGAGAGAGAGGCCTCCATTGTCCACATGAGGCCTAAATGCCACAGACCAGGTGCATCCCCAGTGCTCTCGGGGACCTTTTCTCTGATCATGATTCTCTTGGACCCTGGGGTCCTTGTCCTGCTCAAGCATCCTGCCTGCTCTCCTTGGGAGTCCCCTCAACAAGATCTTCCTTGGACACGAGTC